AGGGTCCTGGAGAGACGCCCTGCCTCCCACTGCTCACCTGCCCATTGTCCCACAGCACTCTCTGTCTTCTTACCGCAGCCAAGAGATCTCATTTCTGGGACCTTTTCTGCCTCTATTTCCTACATGGTCAGCATTTTAGGGGCCTTTCGAGTGCCCCCCCCCAAAGGGATCTGAAGTCTGAACTCTGCACCCGGATATCTGACCTTTGCAGCTGTCAGTGGTTAACACGCGGTCACAGTGGTGAGGAGGGTAAGGTGACCAGACGTCCCGCTTTTGGCGGGACAATCCCGCTTTTTAACAATTTTTCCCTCATCCCGCGGTGTTTTTAAAAAGTCCCAAGTTTTGGAAAGAATGCACGACAAGCTAGGGTATACGGTTTTCGGCTGCCATGTGGCTATTTCGTCAGGATATGAGCTTTATCAATGGTGTCCTGCTTTTGTCCCGCTTTACCAATGTTAGTATCCGGTCACCTTAGAGTAGGGTGGACCTAATCCAATATGAATGGGGCCCTTAGCCACACGGAGCAAAGACACTGACACCGGGGAAGGTGACCATGTGACCACGGAAGCAAAGACTGAGTCATGATGCCATAAGGGATGCCCCGACTCGCAGGGGCAGGGAAAGGCTCCCCGTAGAGCACAGGCAGAAAGCTCAGACCTGCCAACCCCCGGAACTCGGACTTCCTTCCAGCCTCGAGAACGGTAAGACAAGCAGCATCTGTTCTTATAAGCCACCCCCACTGCAGTCGGTTTATGGCCATTTGTTCCAGTAGCCCCCCGGAACACATGCAGTCAGCTCTGTGAGACAGGAGCCTCACCAAATGTACAGGTCGTCCCCCCAACACACAGTCTCGCCCCCACGAGACCCACCCTCTACTCAACATGAAAAATTAAACCAACTGCTATTTAGTTGGAAAATGGGCCCCAAACAGGGATGGATGCTTCCCCCAGAAAGGCTATAGAAGTGACAGGGAAGCACACGGAAAGTTGTTCGACACCATTTGCCATTAGGGGACTGCAGAGTCACGCCGTAACGGACAGCCACGGCTCTCGCTCTGAATGGCCAAGATCAAAGCGCACCGCAGTACCAAGTGCTGGTGAGGATGCAGAGAAACGGTGCCGCTCGTACAGCCCCCTCGGGAAAACGGTCTCGCCGTCTCTAAAAGAACGACACCTGCAAAGGAAGGTGACCCAACAGAAGGCAGAGATGATGGAACGCTATCATCCCCATCGCACACCAGTGAAAGGCCGAAGATCAGGCCAGCACAGTGGTATCCGTCCCCCGACAGGGAACTGCCGGACGTTCGAGCTGGATTCGGGAAGAGGCCTTCGAATGAAGGCCATCGTTGCTGACGGAGCTTGGCTGGCAGCAGAGGAGCCCGCAGGGTGTTCCCTGCGTTCTACTGACTCTGCAAGGCGTTCAAGCACGTGGATCACAGCGCCATGGGGGGCACTTCGAAGAACAAGAATTCCGGAACACCTCACCATGTTTTTGCAGAACCTGCATGTGGATCAAGAGGCAGTCTTAGGGTACCGAGCGGCTGAACATCTGGGAAGGTGTGTGTCGAAGATGTATGTTTTCACCGTGCTTAGTCAACGTGCGTGCTGAGCAAGTCATCCGAGAACTGGATGCGATGGAGAAGGGTGGCGGCGACAGGATTGGAGGAAGACTCGTGAACCACCCGCAGTTGCAGCGGACACAACCCTGCTTGCTAAGGACGAAGAGGACTTGAAGCGCTTTCTGATGAAGCTCCAAGACTACAGCCTTGAATATGCATTACACTTACACACACACACACACACACACACACACACACACACACCAAACATCCTCACGATGGGCTCGATGAGCAACATCACGACAAAGGGAGAAACAATTCAGAGGTGTCAAGGGTTCCACTTGGTTCGGACCCACAGTCATGGGCCATGAAGCAGCCCTCAGGAAATCCAAGAACATGCCTGGGGCACAGCTGCTACAAAAGATCTCTTCAAACTGCTAAAAAGCAAAGGTGTCACTTTGAAGACGAAGGTGCACCTGACCTGAACCATGGTTATTTCCAATCGCCTCATGTGCCTGGGAAAGCTGGCTGATGAATACGGAGATCAAAGAAGAATTGATGCCTTTGAATTAAATATAGCATGAACCACCAGAGGCACGAATAAATCCGTCTCAGAGAAAGTATAACCAGAAGGCTCTTAGAAGCCAGGCTGTCGAAACTTTGTCTCCCATCCTTTGGACGTGTGATCAGGAGAGACCAGTCCCTGGAGAAAGACATCAGGCTTGGTAGAGGATGCTCATGAAAGAGGAAGACCCTCAAGGAGATGAATTGCTCTGGGGGCTGCAGTAACGGGCCGGCATTCAGGAATGGCCGTGAGGATGGCACAGGCCGGGCAGCAGTGTTTGTTCTGCTGTACGTACGGTTGGTATGCGCTAGATCTGAC